ATTTGTCCAATATTTTGATCCAATAAAATATTTGTGAATTAAAGAATCTAAGTGTTAAAAGAAACTTTAAAGATCATCCATTTCAACCTCTCTGTAAATGCCTAAATCTCTTCTACATCTGTTGATACCATATTTCATTTTTATTAAAAGAAATTATTTGCATTTTAATTCATATGTTCAGTTTACATATTTACTTTCAATTTCTGGAAATCCTTTAGTGTAAAATCTTACATTTCCAGAAAATATTATAGGAATGCTTTTAATCAATAATTACTGGAGTTTCTTTAACAAAGATGAGAACATTTTATAAATTGATTTTTTTGTTGAGAAAATAGTAGCTTAAGGATGTTAAGTAGTCTGATAATAAAGAGCATATCTGGAGATGAAGCTCACAACAGTGTTCTTAGAGGCTCTAACTACCTAAGTTTCATGCATCATTTATTATGAGTTCTACTGTAATTTGTAGATAAATGTGAGAGTATTGTATATAGCATTTAATTTTAATTATTTTCCCAGTGGTATTACTGATCCAATGATACTCTGTCATGGGTTCCCCTTATAACCAACAAAATACATTTTCCAAGTTCACTAGTGGACACTAGGGGTGCAGCTGGTGAATCAGAACAAGATCCATCCAGCCAAGTTCATTAATCTCAAATCATGTCCAGAAAAGCCTGGAAAAACTGACAGCATATTAATATAAGTACATATAGCTTGCAAAAATTATAAACTAAATGTTTGTTATACTTGAACAAAGTAATACAGCATTTACTATTTGCTAAAACAGCTTGAGAAGTAGCAATGTTTAAATTTTGGGTAGCCATGAATATTATACAAGTTCCTTATTTGTAATGAAATTTACACAGAAACCATTTTGGAGTTATTATGTTTTATTTATTTATTCATGCATTTATGAATTCACTTATATCTTCTTTTTGAATGAATCCCAAGTACTTCATAAATCTCATTTATAGAGAAAAATCCTTAATTAATTGGGGGAGGGGGTGGCAAAGGCCTTAAACATCACAGAAAGAAGTAGTATGGTGAGGAATTTACACCTAGGGAATAGATTCAAATTAACTCTTATACAAGAGCTGGACATTATATCTTCCATTTTCACATAGTAAAAGCTACACTTCAAAACCACAGAAGCAAGAAAATTTAAGAGGACCTGCTATGTTTGAGCTGAGGAAGGCTCAGCTATAATACAGTAATTTCCCTGTTCATCAGCTCACTGCTGAAGGTGACTAGATGTTGATTGCAACAGAGCGCTCTGGAAAATATTTGCCAAATTCACCTTTGACTCTGTCTACAATAGGTCTATGACCTTAAGGTTATGTAAACTGTTGCAAAACTGCATTAAAAGTATCTCCTTTTGAGAGATAAAGCAAATGTAGCAAAAAACTGGTTAATTTAGGGGAAAGGTAAAGAGGTAGTCATTAAACTATTCTTGCAATTTCTCTGTAGGACTGAAACTTTTCCAAATAAAAAGGTTTTGGAGAATTACATGTAATTCAGTCAAGAAACAAAATCAAAAACATATTGCCTGTTGGCCACATCTTGGTTGGGAGAAGGAGAGAAAGCATACAGTGATTAATATATTGGTACCACTTAAGACTATTTGCAAAAGCATATGACTCTCCCACTCTAATCACTTAGGAAATAAAATATTTGAGTAAATAGAGGGTAATATAATGTTCCTGTTTACTATCTTACATACATAAAGAATGATTAAGAACTTGTATAAAAGGTGATTATGCTAATAGAAAATTGGGGGAAAGACATGAAAGGTAACTCTCAAAAGAAGATAGACAAACGGTCATTAAAAGTTTTAAAATCTCTTTCTTGCACTGGTAATTGAAGATATGAAAATTAAAGTAATTGTCAATATTTTAATCACAGCATTCTGCATAGTGAGGGAAAAGAAAAATTTCAAAAAACACCCGTAATTCTGTGCCTCAAACGTAAACTGATACAATCTTTCTGGAGAGTTATTTGGCAATACGTATATTTTAAAAACTTTTAGAATGCCAAAACCCTTTATTACCTCTAGATATTCTGCTTCTAAGAATTTATTCTAGAAGAATATAGATAATGATGTATATTATATATAATATATATTATATATATGAAAAGAAAGTTTATGTAGAAAAATGCTAGTTTCAATATTGTCTTCATTAGAAAAAGGTTGGAAAAATCTAAATGACAGAGACTTGCTTAAAAAGACTTAGAACATATTCACATGATGAAATATTGTATGGCCATTAAAAAATGTATTATAGAGAATAATATTACAGAAGAATATTAAGTAACATGGAAAATTTTCCAAGACACAATGTGAAAAATTCAGGTATTAAGGCATGTACAGGATAATAAGAAAAATGTAAACCAAGATATTAGCTGCTTTTCTGTTAGCATTGAAATTATAAGTGGTTCTACTTTTTTTTCAAATAATATGTACTACTTTCATTATTTAAAAATTACAATTTATGTTTTTAAAATACACAGAAACTATTCCTTTTGTGAGGGTTAGCCATAATTATGTACCAACACATGGTGGCTTGGTGCAGGATTGAGCAACGGTGGAAGCTCAAGTAGGAAGCATCGAATAACATGCCACAGTGGGGAGAGGGATGCAATTCAGAAACTGCAGTTTCAGCTCTATGTACAAATGGTGGGTAGCGTCTTTAATTTGTTTCTACACTTCAAAATAACTAAAAGTCCAACCTTGAGAATCACCTGAGACTGACAGGCCCGGGAACAGAAATAGTGGTTTCAGGTGTTTGGAGACCATGTTGATAAACTCAGGTCGAGTCTTAAACGTAGGCAGGGTCACCTACGAGTAACAGTAGTTTCCAAGATGACAGCTTGCTCTAATATTGCCTCATGGTCACCATTTGAGTGAAAAAGCGCCAAATAAGAAAGTGTGAGTCCTAGGTAAATGCAAATGTAGCCTGTATCAGTCTATCCAAAATCCAGGCAGTGACCAGAATCTCTGGGGACATTTATTTAAAAATACAGACTCAGGCTCTTCCCATGTAGAGTCTCTGTCATAATAAACTTAGATTGACAACAGGAAATCTGTATTTTAAATGAGCTCTTCAGGTTTAAATGACCAGTGTACATGATATTTAGTGTGTGATGGCTAAACAGAAATGTCAGCTAAGCCACTTCAGCTGGTAGTGTGTCCCGTCATCCACATTTTTGCCCCAAGTGGAGAAATGTGTTCAATTTAAAAGACAATCCCTTAATTACATTGGTCAGCTGTTTTCCTTGGGTCCTAAATGCAGAGGAAGTGGAAGTTTACTTCCCAAGTGCGTATATCCTTTATAGTTTGTTACATAATTTCAGTCATAATTGTGTAATAAACTATATTATAGTTCTCAGCCATAGTGTATGATTAATGATTTTCAACTAATTTTTTTATTATTTTTGTAAAGTCATGAGTTAATCTTTTTAGATCCTGCTTTATATATTCTAACTCGGGGACACTACCTTCTTATTGTATTCAAAATTGTGATGCTTGAATGGGCAAGTCAGATATGTCGCATTTCTTATCAAATGACAACTTAAGAAAGCTTATTTCTTTCTAGATGGACTTGCGTATTACATATTACCCAGGCATGGTCTCTGTGTTTCTGCAGTTTGTGGGTTAACTAAGAATTGACTATCAGATTATCTACTTTACTGGTTTTTAACCTGTGGCTTTACTTTAAGCTCCAGGGATTCAGGAGATCCTCTGTGAATGTGTAAGGGGGTTGGGTGAAGGTCTGAGGGATACTGCCCATGGATCAGGCTCCTGCCATCTCCCCTTCTTTGATTCAATAGGCTTTTGATACACTCAGTCCTGCTGCAAAATTTCTACTTTCAGGTATTTTGCATATTGAGTTTGTGTGTGTCTTTATTGGAAAATGGGTTCTGTATAAAAAAAAGGATATCCAAGATCTTTGTAATGATTGGATTTAATCATCCATAATTTATGAATTAATGAAAATAAGCTTTTCTGACAGGCTGATGATTCTGGAATCAAAGATGAATAAGAGTTCATTATTAGTGAAGGAGAAAGGTATGTAAAACAGACAAATTGCAGTTGAAAATAAACAGCAATTTGTCAGAGATGGTGTTGGGGGGAAGATGCTGTTAACAATGGGAGCACCATGTAAAAGGGTTTGACCTGCCTCGGAAAGGTGAAAAATTCACTATGATAAGATTGTGATAAGAACTAAGGAATTTTGATTTTAACATTTAGATAACAAGGAGCTGACATTAAGCAAGAAAGTAAGTTAGCCAGAATTTTCCATTTTTAGCACAATATACGTGATGGCAGAGTAATAGATAGATGGAGTACAGGTAAGGGTGGAACAGAACTCATGGCACAGAAACCAGGTAAAAGCCGAAGTTGGATTTGATGAGGAATTAAGAGAGTGAGAGCATTTCCAAGATAGAAATTAACAACCTTTGCTTAGACGCAAAGGTTAAGAGGATAAACTTCAGGACAATAAACTTCCGTGAAAATCAGTCGCATTGATGTTACATTAGGGAAGGAGGATCTGGGGTCATGGGGTTGCCCATGGCAGCTGGAGTGAAGTGCTGAGAGAATATAAAGTAAAAGAAATGTTGAGATCATACATTCATTTCTTCGACAGAAGTGGAAAGAACAGAAAATCCACTTCTACTTTAGTTCTGCCTGACTACGTAAAAAAATACCCAGTTGAGGCCAATAGGCCTAATTCCCAGGGGCGGTAGGTGACTGCTGCTTCCTATCTCATTATTTCCTTCAAAAAGCAAATGGTAAAGATTTGTTCTCCAGGGAATCTCTGATCCCAAAGTCTAGTGAAGTGTCAGAGTAGTGGTTTGTCTATGGTGCAGAGAGACAGTTTGAATCTTCGAATGTTCGGTGCCAGTTTATTAGCTACTTAGGGTTGTAAATGCTTCTCTTTTCTTACAACTTCAAAGTCTAACCCATTGTCCATGTGGATTACAAAATAAGAAAACATTAATTTATTGTGAGACTGCTTTAATTAATAAATCTTTTTGAAAGTTCTCTGTTACACATTGTACATAAATAGAGTTTTAAAAGTGGACTTTTAAACATAAGTTTTATAAGTTTTAGTTTGCCTCACAGTTTTCCTACAAGGAGGGAAAATTCCTCTTCCTAATTTAAAACTTTCCACAATCAACTGCAATTGAAATTATGAACACTGACTGTCCACAATTATCATTTTAGTTACTTCTTGGTGGGCAACATAAATGAATAATACAAAAGAAAATCACATGCTATTTTTAATGTCATTTATCCTAAATACTTTTTCCAAAAAGTCACACTCGCAACCTTTTGATAGTTTTAGACGGATAGAATGTGAGAAAGAAAATTCCAATGACATAATATATAAAAATGTTGTTACATATAGAAGAATAAAAATCTGTGTTTTGGGGACTATTGCTGTGGGAAATAGGGCCTGATCTTCATAGAAATTTTCTTCATGGAGTACCAGGACCCCTTCCAGTTCATCCATACCACTCCATCATCCGTGCCATGTTTTGCCATGTCCCAGCTGTACTGCCCACCCCAGTAGTATCTGCCGTTTGGATTGGCTGCATGGCATCTATTATACCACCATCCACCACCATCCTCTTTAGAACACTGCTTTCTGGGATCTGTAGTTGTCCTGAAAGGAAAGGTGTTTGGGGTTATTAGAACTGCAGTGCTGTCAAGTTAATTCTTTGCAAAGTACCCATAGAGGAGTGCTGTGTCCAGTACTCCTTCCCTCTGGTTCTATAAGTAAAGTCACTATAATACACCAAAGCCTTCTCTGCCTTATAGGAAGAAAGGGAGAGAACTGGGCCTAAGTGGCAAATTCATCTATATTAGTGACTTTATACTGAAATGATAGCTTTCAGATACCTTAGTATTAGAGAACCCCAGAAAGAAAAATGAAGGTTTCAATATACACATTAGAATATAGAGAGAGAGAAATTCATCTAAGCACTCACTACTCAGAAAGTAACTGTGCTCTACTCCCAGTTCTATCTTTTGTAGTTGTATGACTTTGGATAAGTTACTTAATCTCTCTAAACTTCATCCGTAAAATGAGAATAATAATGGCAACTTTATAGTTGAAATGCTCTAGAGTGATACAAAAGGAGCTTAGTACTCTGGCTCACACACAGTAAGTACCCAAGAAATGACAGTTGTTAATAACATTAGCTATCATTACTGATTCCAAGGAACAATATTAGTAGTGACTTTTGAAGCAGGAGTGAAGAACACAACACATACCAGCCGTCATTGTCTCTGTCGTATGTGCTGAAGTACATGCCGTTGTGAATGGTCATGGTTCTGTTTTCTCCCACCAGTTGAGAAGCTCCGTCCACGAGGGCATTGCCAGCTGTTCCCTTATATTTGCCCACTGAGAGTTGGTATTTGTCGCCCTCACCCTTTACAGTGAATCCTTCGTAGAGTGCCTTCACCTTATCTCCTCTCCAGTCCTCCATTTCAATCAAAAGTACTGTGGGTCCCATCATTGTAAGTTGGCTAATTTTATCATTTCCAAGCCAATACTCACCTAACGGAAAAAATAAAATAAAATCTCACCAAAAATAAAACCTTTGGAAACTAAAAACTGCCCTTCTTTGCTTATCTTTAGCTTTCAGATTCTTTTTGTAAACTCTTCTTAACCTCCTAAAAGTTGTAAAAACAGACTCCCACCACTATCTTCTTTAAATGGGAAAAAAAAAAAAAAACCCATTTTAAATAGAATGATTTTATTTTGTACTCCCAGTTTTTACCTGGTAGGCCACAGTATTTTTTCCCATCTGCATTGGTTGCAATATTTCCAAATCCTTGTTTGTATGGATCCCATTTCCTGCCAAAGTCAACACTACCATCCTGGCGGTTCTGAATTACCGTCCATCCTTTGGTTAAAAGAAACAAAAACAGCACATATTAACCAACAACAAATAATGGCACTTGAGGATAATGTCTGAATTCCTTGTCCACTTAATTATTTTATCCATGCCTATATTTAGTGCTCCAAAATAGATCTAATAAGGAAACAAATATGAGAGGAAAACTCTTAAAATCTTTGGAAACGGCAAGCGCTTTATCTTACTGCAAATTGTGAATCGTGGAAATTTTATAACTTTCAAAATATCAGATTACATTCAAAATCAAATGGCTCATTGTTAGTTTTGCTAAAGCTAGATTTTATCTTCTGGCATTTTATGGTATCAAAATAATTACAGAATAATTGCTCGACAACTATTAAAATACTTACCTCCACTCTCTGTGGTCATATCACAGTATACTCTATATGGTTTGGCAGAACGGTCAGGCTGAATGAGATACATTTCAGATGTTTCACCTCCATTCCTGATAACCTCCTCACATTCTGCAACCATAAGATAATATATTATAGTCAGGGACCTACAAGACAATTACTCAGTCTTTAGTTACTAATTTTATAAGATAACTGATTGCATAAGTTACTGAGAAATGTTTTATTTTAGACATTTGAGAATCTACTATAGAAATTGAATCTTGTTTTTCTGAAAATCGCACTTAGTTTTGAGGACTTCTATCTGCCAAAGGGATGAAAAAAGTCCTTCACCACCTTTTGTGTCCTGGGATACCCATAAACTGCAAACCACATAGGATGGAGAAACTCTTACATCTATCCATGGTTCTACCATCTATTCAAGCAAGTGTGTGTATATTAAACAGGTGGGACTACCACCATCATTACACTACATCATGCATCAAAAACTGGCAAATGCATTAGGCTAAGTCAGAACACAGCATGCCAGAAATAACTTCATGATGTGCTGTAACGTCATTAGGGTCTGTTAGGGAAAATCCACCAGACTTTATTTACTTCTTTTATTTTTGGAGAGTGTGAGTTCTTCTGGAACCCTATAGAAATATGTTTAACTAGTTACCTCTGCCAGACACTACAGGAATATTGCAACTGACAGTGCATGGGTTGCGGCAGTATTCCATCTGCGCTGAGACATCAGATTCTAATTTTTGTATTTTGCTTCTCAAGTTTTCCAGGATTGAACGGAGCACACGAATGTTAGTTGGGACATTACTATTCACAGTCTCATCTATATACAATTGGTGCTTTTCCAGCTCTGAGGAGTATTCACCTACTACATTTTCATTATCTGGGAAAGCAAAATTATGTAGGAATAGTTAGCATTTTCTCTGGATAAAAAATTCTCAATATATTCAACTATACAATTATTATTTTGATTTCCTGAGAATAAACTAATAGACACTGAGCTACCATCAGGCAGTCATGAAATACAGTTCTACTTAAGTGAAATTATTTGGCCCATGGCATATATAAATTAACAGATAGTCTAGCTAATATACTAGTAATTTACCTTAGTTGTAAGCTAAAAATTATGCCCAATAATAAATACAATAGGTTGTTTATTTCTTTGGTGAGGAAAAGAGGAGAAAGCAGTATTTAGGCCTTCTATCTTAGAAGTTTAACATCTTGTGGAGTGGATACATTTGCTTTACTTATCCATCCCACGTAAGTACAGCAGAGCTTTGAAATTTACAAGAAAGATGTGATGATTCCTTTGAAAAATGTTCAATGAAATGGATGAATGAATTAATTAATTGTTCAATGAATGAAATGTTCAATGAAAAGTGTTCATTTTTCAATTCCTTTGAAAATTGTTGGGTGTGCTGCTCACTGAGATGCCTATGCCAGGCTCACTCACTAGCTGATTCCTAACCACCAAGCCAATAACACTTCACATTCAGATCTCAAGATTCAAAGGTTAGGTATCATTCACTGCAAATACACTTGAATATATCATGGCTATTCTGATATTCAAATTCTCAAAGGTTAAATCTATAAATGCTAAATTTTTACTCTGTGAATATTGTCTTCTAAGCTACAAGACAAGTTTCTTATAGACTAAAAATAAATCACAGTGAAATTTTTCATAGAAAATCATCCTTGGTGATGCCAGACTGGGAATAAGAGTTGATAGTACTTATCTGATAAGTTGCAAGTGAAGGTACCTGCGTGAGGACCTAAGGATAGTCAGGCTCACCCTGAAAGCAGCATGGATGCTACTTAGGCTAATCTAGAAATGCCAGTCTTCTCATAATCATACATTCCCATGCAGTCTATAAGTTCCAAGTTTTATGAGTTAAATAGAAAACACAAAGATATCTACCTTTTAATTGCTTCTCCCTCTTTTTCCACATCTCTTTTAGCGCAGTTATATACTGAAAGTTGCTAGAAGAGCTCTGGGAAATAGACTCCACATTATGACTTAACTCATTTACACTGTTTCTGACTGATCTTTCCTGTTTTACCAAAGTATCTTGCAACTGACATCCTGTAGGACACAACACTCCCTGAAAACAAAGAAAATAGCAGCCATGAGATGAAGGATGTGGGTTATGGACATTTGTGAAAAGAATACAAAGCGAAAATCCAACCGTATCATTAGCCAATGTAAAAGTTTGTAATTTGATTTTATTTATGTAAGAGCAGAAATTCAAGAGTCATCATTATATTCCTTGAAGATTAAAAATAGTCCTTACCACACAGTAAACATAATTAGGCTATGAAAATTTTACCACCTGAACAAAATACAAAGATAAAGGCAACACTTACGTGTAGTCATTTGTAAGCTTGGGCCCAAACCAAAGGAAACTAGAAAGGAACCCTTAACCAAAGACCCAATAAGTTTATGTTTTGTATTTTGTTTCCAAATTAAACAAAGTAACAATGATGGCAATGTCAATATATCATTAGGAAGTCACGATGAATACAGGCTTTCTCTGCATGGGAGATCCCCTCCTTCAAGAAACGCCAGTGCACCTACCAGGTCTGGGTCAGCATGAACACAGCCTCCAGCATCAGGGGCTTTTCTTTCCACTTTCTTTTTGTTGGCTGCTACTTTGGCTGGACGAGGCCGATAGCCAGGTCCACTGATGGGAGGTGGGGCAGGTTTCAGGCTGAGAGGCTCTTCCCTCTTCTTGTCAAGGGGTCGATGACTCCGGGCATCAAAGGTGACCTTCAAGGAATCAGGCAGAAATAAAATGTAGAGTGTTATAGAAGATTTGAGATGTAAGTATTCCAACACCCTCATTTTATAATTTCTTTTATTACATGACTCATGAATTTGCTTAAAGTCCTTCAACCGGCTAGTTGTTATTCATAAATCAATAGGTTGCTTAGGTCTCTTCAGCAACAATAGAAAGAAAAACTGCACAAAAAGCTATTGTACCTGAGGTAGTTTGTTAAAAGAGGCTCTAAAATAAAGCTGCATCAGATTATGAATCATAAAGACCTCAGATTCCTGAAACTTACACATTGGAACACCCAATATATTAAGGAATCTATACTGTCAGGAAGAATAAATATTCTCAAACCACTTGAATAACTAAATTCCGGTAATTATTAATTATTTCCCAACTTTCAATTTTTACAAATTGGTGATTAATTTGGCTAACTACTATATAATAATATTTAAGAGGCAATACAGATTTATTAAAAGTAACATTGACTTAGGATTGATTTGTAATAGGACAACCTTTGACCCTAACATGTTTGAAGAGGAGTAAAGTAGTACTCTGCACTAGAAGATGACTGTGAGGATTAAATGCCGTTGCATCGGACACTCTCAGAAGACTACCTGGCACATAATAAATACTCATTATTTTTGTCACAAAAACTTATAACAGATACTATCATTTAAGAGGCTTTTGTTGTCAGTGCTGTTGAATTGATTCCAACTCCTAGCAACCCTGTGTACATTTCATAGAGTTCTCATAGCCAATTTTTTGGAAAGTAGGGAAGCTCTGCTGAAACCTATCCACCACGCTGCTGGTATTTGAAATCAGCATCACGGCAACACGCAGCTGCTATAGTATGTCAACCAACAGATGGGTGGTATAGTTTCCTGACCAGAATGAGAACACAGGCCGTGGTGGTGAGAGCACTGAATTTCACCACCGCACCACCAGGGATGGCTGTTTAGGAGGTTTCACCACTACTCCAATCTTAATCTTCTGTCAACAAAATCATTTGTTAAACCATTTTCATGAAATTTCCCACGTGATTTCTTTATCAAGCACCCTGATTTTCTCACATTTAAAATAATTCTCAAGGTATGTGCATTAAGATGAACATTATTTGCTAACTTAAAAAAGATTGCATTAAAAGATAATGAAATGAAAAATATGCAATGCAATATAAAAGTATCAGCTTGGATTAATTGCATTATCATATGGTCTTTGTCACTAATTACACCTTTGGGGCTTAGTTACAAAATAAAATGACTAAATTTGAAGCAGAGACTAAGCTCTCTAGCTGTTTTGTGAGCCTAGAAGTCCTGGAGTGACTCTATTTGGATTTTACTGTCATTTATTCCTTAAGTTATCATAATATGTAACATTTAGTGGGAAGAGGCTAGACTTCAACCCCAGGCAGTTTAGTTCCAGATTCCCCTGCTTAATCGTTGAACTTAAACTATAGTATCTGTTATGTGTGATTGCAATAAAAATAATAACATGTAAAGATTCCGGGGAAATATACATATTTCATGTTGAAGATGTGGTCCCAGTCAAAGCTGACCTGTTCTAACAGGAATTTTATTTTATGAAATGTGATTCACCTATTTATTACAAATCAAAGGACAACCTAAGAAAAATATTTTCTGTTTATTTCAGAGTCCCATTAGAGAGGTAGCATGACGGTCTAGCTTTACTAGAAAAAAGGGAATAAAAACTGTTAAAAGAAATTATATGTGTATTTAGGTTTATGAAGACCACTTTTCGAAATAACTAAAACTAGGGAATCCCTTTTGAAGCCTAAACCAGTACGCTGTCTCTGTAAGGATTGCTTGGTGAGCAGGAATGTACAAGTGCTTAGCCAAGTATTTACAAAAGTTTACTCTTACACATTCTTTAAATTTTTCTTACTTAATGCAATTAACCAGACAACTGTCCTTTTATATGTGTAGTTTGATAGTTAGAACAATTAGGTTCCCCTCAAATTCAATAAAGGATCCAAAATGAATCACTTCATCTAAGCATTATTGTGTACTTCTATTTCTAGTATGATGATACTATATTATATACCAGAAATTTGATCACAATTCATTTCATAATAAAATTAAAGTTCTTTAAATCTTCATTTCCCTAAATGCACTTCTATATTTTTGATATTTTCAAACCCAAGGAATAAATCAGCAAACATAGTACTTGAGGAAAAACTGTTCTACAAATGAGTAAATCAAACTGAACTATTTGCTTCATAACCATTAATAATAAATACTACCTACAATTTAAGTTTTCTAATTTGAAAAAAACAATTTTTCATTTTTTATCACTGCACTTGGTCTACTCTGCTCTTAGATTCCATTGATAATTTTCATTAATAAATAGTAATTTCAGGAGCTATACATTACCCTCTTTCATCAAAGAGTCACCTATCTAGCACAGCTTTTTTCTTTTAAATATTGCTTTTATATTACTTTATAGTGTGCAAAATTTTCAGATTTTTGTCCACATAATTGTAATAACATATTTCTAGAACTAAATGAAAATCATAGTACTCAGTATAACAACAAGTGAGAAAAATTTATCTTACCTTAGTTCTCCCATCTTCTTCCTGGGAAAATAAAGGTGATAAACCAGAAAACAAGAAATTATTATTTTGTTTTCATAAAAGAAATACTATTTAACATTCTGTAAATAAAATGGGTCCCTGAAATTAACAATTCAATTTCATAACTCAAATCAGTGTTACTTTCATTAAAATAAACATTAACATATGATTACAATTGTTTTATTTCATATTAATAATATTAGTAATAATATAATAATTTTTAAAAAGTCACCTCATGATCATAGTCAAGAGCTTGGGACCTAACTACAGAAACACACAGTAGTAACAGAAATAGAAGTTTCATGGTTTTAAATTTTTGGAAGTTCCAAGAAACCATCCTTTGCTCGTAGACTTAACTGAGAGAACTCCAACCCTTATATACCTGAATCCTCCGTTAAGTATGACTTTAGAAATGGTTATCTTCCTTAGTTAATATTTAATTTTTTGGTTCACTTGTTGGCTGAACCATTTTATCTCTTAAGCAACATCTTCCCAGCAAGACTTATTTACCTGTCATACAGCTATTCTCTGTTGGCGGAATTAAGAAACACCAAAGTTCTTCAATTCATTTAGTTGGACAATATGATGGGAAATTAGGACATTCCTAACAGAGATGTGTACCACATTTCCTGTAAATTAATGTGGATGCTGCACAGGCTCACAAAGAATGTATGAGGAAAAAAATATGTTTAATCCAAGCTCAAAAAATTGGACCTACTCACAAGGCATCTGTTAACATTGGGAGCTCACTAAGGGTATACCGTAAATGCTTATGTTTTGAAGCAATCACATAATTCAGTTTTAAAAGAAGCCATTAAAATCAAGAATAATGTTATATCACTGTGTGTTTGTCCTCTCTTTTAGACATTAATCAGAATAACAAAATTACAATTCATGCGTATGCTATGACAGACAAGCATCAAAAAGAAAATATTTGCTCTTTTGCTCTGACCCCTTTCATATTTTGTCCTTTATTAATATGTTAAAATGTTCAACAAATTCTAAACTTTATTAAAATGATGAGTAGATTACATATTTCTTTATAAAAATCATTATTATGGTGATTGAATATTTAACATTTTATTTTTACATAATATGTATATTTTATAGTTTATAAAAAAACCTTATTTTAACATTAGTGAAGCCTTCATACATCTGTTTCAAGTAGATGCTCAGACACTAAATGTGGCCTATTTCCTTTCGTCATTTCCTATAAGCACCAAATCCCCCTCTCTCATCTTTTCATTTGTTTGTTGCAATCAGGATTAACAACTCCTACAAGAATCAATAGGGAAACCAAAGTCAACAACACAAATTCCAGCAAGTGTGCTGCTTTATGGAAGTTTCTGAGGCTTTTGGTACAGAAAATGAAACATTCTCATTAAGTTCTTTAAATGATTTTATTAAGAAGATAGCAGGTTATCCAGGCTTGGATCAGGAGAGTTTTATTTTAAACCACTTTGAAGCAGACTCTTGATAATGGTATGAGACTCACTAAATTTCTTTCTTCTCTTGGTGGCATAGATTACATTCCCAAATTCTTTTAACTCAGCTTTATAGAAGCAAAGTATTGAGTTTAAATTAAGTAAAATACTTGTTAGATCTTTCCAAATTTATGTCCCATTTACGAGTACTGAGTAAATACTGTGCTTTAAGATTAGTTTAGTTTAAATTTTTCGTAGAAAAATACTCATCTGACTGAAAAACCAAATATGTATGTATTAATTAAAATAATATGCGAGAACACTTCCCTTCAAAACGTAACTGAGAAAAAGTTTATTTTAATAATCTAGTGAGGGTTTTATTTTAATGATGTCAGATTCTTGCTGGTTTAAAAAGACTGACTATGTTAAAAAGACTAAAATAACTTTTTTCTTTTGAGGTAACATTATCATATTACTTCGTTTTCAAACACTGACATTTCATCAACTAAGAATAGAACCAGGGGCTGGCCCAGTGGCACAGCAGTTAAGTGTGCACGTTCCACTTCTGTGGCCCGGGTTTCGCCAGTTCGGATCCCGGGTGCAGACATGGCACCTCTTGGCAAAAGCCATGCTGTGGCAGGCATCCCACATATAAAGTAGAGGAAGATGGGCATGTATGTTAGCTTAGGGCCAGTCTTCCTCAGCAGAAAGAGGAGGATTGGCAGTAGTTAGCTCAGGGCTAATCTTCCTCAAAAAAAAAAGGAAAAAAAATAAAGAAAGAATAGAACCATTATTTAATTTCCAGAAGTTTGTTATTTTCTTCTAGCGTATTATAGAATCTTGTACAACATTAAAACAAAAATTCCTTTACATTCCCAATTTTTTCTACTCTGACTGGCATTCTTGCCACCACCAGCAGGAAGGTGCAAGGAACCAACTAGAATGTACATTTCATAAGAGGGGAGACCTAATATTCATTCCACAAATAGTTCTTGAGAGCCTCCTATGTGACAGGTAGTGTGCTAGGTGCTGGGGATACATTGGTGAGCAAGATAGACATAGTAGGCATTCAATTTAAAAAATACAGAATGAACGAGTGAACTAGCCTTCATTGAAACATGCTGAGATGCCAACTCTGATAATCATCTATCTGATTTGATTCTTGAAACCACTAAGTTCCATAGATGATGAAACTGAGGCTCTGAGAGTTTAAGTAAACTACCCAAGGTGTACAGATTGTGAGTACTGGTACCAGGGATTGACACACGTCTGTCTGACCCTACAGTCCATGCTCTGTGCCCATTATACCATATTACCCAACAAAATATAAATATTATAAAGAATTTACCTGTTTGTTTTTGTTGTTGTTGTTGTTGTTGTTGTTTTGGCCAGTCCATTGTCTTGGGACAATAGTGTCTCAGACTGACGCACTCATTCTTAGCATTTATTTTCACTTAGCTTGACTCTCATATATGTTGTTCGTATGGATATTCAAGTCTGTGTGAGAGGCATGGCTGATGCAGTGATAATAACTATGATTTTCTTTATTTCTAGGCCTTGTTATTTTTTCCTATAGAGTTATATACAGCTAGTATACCCTCTAAAGTGTAAATAGTAACACTAGTAAAGTGTAGCTAGTAACACTCTAAAGCGTGTAATATTACAAAGTAAATGACCATGTTTTCAAAGAGGAGAAATATATTCACAGAGATTTTGCTTGCTAAAATGCTTAAATTTTTAAAAATGTTGATGCTATTGGTGGAGGAGGAAGGGAGTGCTATTTGCTCAGCTATGTTTTCAGGTCAAGAGTGCAGTGCTCTTCGTATTAGCCGATACGGTTACATAAATCAAGGGCAGTAAATCAGTGACAGAGAAACAGAGATAATCTGTCCTGCCCAGCAGCTCTCTGGCACGAAGAACAGATTTGCGGGCAGTGATCGTCAATGCACTTGTCAATCCTTCTACAATTCATTTCAGGCCCAGTCTATCCAGCACTGGGCAATTTGTTCATCAAATATTTAAAGCAGCTACTTTGTGGCTGGTAGTGCGCCAGGGGTCAAGGATACTTTAGTGACCAAGACAAACAAGTGCCCTATACTCATGAAGCTTTGTGTCTAGAGAGGAAGACAGAAAATGAAAACTACTTATAATAAGATGTGCCAAGCCTAAGACAGGGAAAGGTGAGGTTTTGGGGAACAGTAACTTAGAGATCTAATCTCCTACAGAGGGAAAAGGGAGTTGAAAGGAAAACGCTTTTGGACTTGAAACTTGTCATTTGAATGACTGTATGGTTCATATCATATACCTGCTACATGATGGGTATTTGATAAATATCTGTTGAACAAGTTTACGAAGGTATGACTGAGTCAATGATTCAATGGATAAAATGAAATACTGATTCTCTTTGCCTAAATAAGCATAGCTTTTGAGAAACTATACTAAATCATTATTAGCCTTTGTGTGTATTTTTCTTGTCTTATCCTGAGCTACAGTTTGAGAACCACTATCCAAGGGGAGATGCTATAATTGGTTAGCCATCTGCAATGGGAAGGCAGATTTTGCAGGAAAGAAGAGTAGGACCCAGCTCTGTCTCTTGTGGAGAGTCTCCCTCTATTGACTTGAAATATGTCAGTTAGCTTTTCTCAAAGGAGCTGATACAGAGCCCAGAGATAAGGGAAAAATAGAACATTTCTTTTTCAACCTAACGTTGATCATAAGAGCTAGAGAAAAGACAGAGATGCTCCTCTGCTTCTGTCACATTGAGACTCAAAACCACAAAGGGCGTAATGAACACCTGTTGGAGTGCTGCTCCTTTCTCCTGGAATGACTCCTAAAACACAGAAGTGGGACTCCAGTGGTCCTGGTAGTATTGTGATACCCTGACCCTCTAGCCAGAGGTGACTGTGCTACAGGTAGACCCCTTACCCAAACCAGCCCCATCAGCTTCTTTCCCCCAATTGAATGTGTGCAAAGGAAATAACCAGAGAATCAGGTCAATTGGCCTCATGTCATATTCATGGCAGCATTCTAGAGAGAAAGTCTACCAACTCCTGGAGCAGAAATAACCAAAACTTCTAAACTTGATTATTTTATTCTTCTGTCAAACATGTGGGACACCTGATGTTCTTCTAATAGCACCCATTCCCTTGTTATCTTTTGGTAAATTAGGCTCAGATGGCTTCTTGGGTTTGCTGAACTAATCCAAAGGGAAAATTAAGATCAAATTTTAGGAATTAGACTGACTATTTTTTTTAAAGCATAAATTGCACATTACAAAGAGAAGCTGTATTTCCAAACAATGAAATAAATCATGGAAAGCTTTTATACATTAAGTATATAGCACCAGCAGTAAAACTCTGTAGAATATGAAAACTTTGATTTTATTTTGGAGTATTTTAGTAACATTCATTTAAAAAGTCTTCCACTATTTAATAATTACTTCTTGAATTAAATTAAGAATATTTTCTGTAAAATGTGCTCAGGATTAGATTAATGGCATAACAGACATATTTATAATTTTGAGTCTTCTTATCCAAGAAAAATGTATGCATTTTCATTGATTCAAATATTTTTTTGTCCCTTAAATTCTTTTCATCTAGGTATTGCATGTTTTTGACCTACTGCTGTTATAAATAAGATCTTCCCCTATTAGATTTTTTAACTGCATATATGAAAGCTTGAATTTTGAATATTATTTTTGCACCAGGTATCTTAGTGAATTCTCTTATTGTTTCCAATAGTTTTTCCAGTTGATTTCTTGCTTTTTTTTTCAGGCATATAATCATAACGTTTGCAAATAAATATAGCTTTGCTTGATTATTTCCTATTTTACATCACTTATATCTTCTCTCATCCAATTGCACGACTAGTACTTTCAGAAAAAAATAAATGTGAATAATAATGATGATACCAGGAATTCTAGTTTTGTGGCTGACTAATGAGAATGTTCCTAATGTTAATCTATAAACATGATGCTGGCTTTTGGTAGCATATTTTTAAAGAAAGCCTAAAAACGACTAAATTATAATAGTAAAATATTCACGCAATCAAAATGCCTTAATCTTTTTAATTATTGCCTTCAAGAAGTGTTTCTGCCAACTAAACTCATTTTTGCAAATGATATATTTTTACAACTAAATTAGTATCTTATAACAACGTCAGAATAAAGTTTTATATAAACTAAATAAAATTGGGCACGGACTCACCTAAAAATAATGAAAATAATTTATTTTCATAAAATTTACAATGATCAGAAAGACAGACTGTCCTCGTACAAGCAATTCTCTGCCGTACACACAGGAAAGGGTTAAGATTAAATTAATGGCCACTGAAACAGCAGCATCTTTTCAAGGGTGAGCACATAACATACAGATACAGACACACAATATTCTTCCTACAGATTTAATACCTGTAACCCCACATCAAAATTAAGGTCTTGATGTCTTCCATCCCCACATTTAACTTGACACCTTACTTATTCAATCATTCAACAAATATTGAAAGCCTACCTGTTGCAAGTCAACTAGATGCTGGGTGCATGATATTGAGTATCACAGAATACTCACTCATACATCTATTAGGGAATACAGATAATTAAACAAATATTACTATCGAACATGGTAGTTTATGAACTCAGCCAAGAAGACTGAAAATGTCACCCTGCTATTTTTTTCTCTGTCAACATAAACACTGACATATTTTTGCAAACTAGAAACACAAATAACGATAATTTATGAGTCATGATCATGTCCAATTTTGACACTTGTTTTTGCGACATGGATGAGACTTCATAAAGTACAGTAAGGCAAAATCGAGATAAGCAACATTTCCTTCCTCTCTCTCTGTGTCACACACACACACCTTGTTAAGATGTTCATAACTTACAGTGCAGCCTAATTATGTCCCAGGCCTTCCCAGGCATTAACTGGAAGAATAGCTCCCAGGGCTGGCCCATGGCTGAGTGGTTAAGTTCACGCACTTCGCTTGGGCAGCCCAGGGTTTCGCTGGTTCAAATCCTGGGTGTGAACACGGCACCGCTCATCAGGCCACGCTGAGGCAGTGTCCCACATGCCACAACTAGAAGGCCTCACGACTAAAAATACACAATTATGTACCGGGGAGCCTTGGGGAGAAAAAAGAAAAAAAATAAAATAAAAGCTCCCTCACTGTTTCCTGTGGTTCCAGAAGCTTTCCTCCCAACTGTGTTACCAAAAGTCACTTGCTAACACTACCTCAGCATTGGGGCCCATTCTTAGCATTGTGATAAACAATTAGAGACCAAACTTCTGGAAGAAATGTTCAAGTATGCTTTTTCACATGTTCTGACCTCAGGAATGCAAAAAGAAATAACTTCCACCATTCATCTCTCTTAAATTAGTGAGGAGTTACAAATCTGAAATTCATGGGAAAAAGGACATATTGAGCCAAACAACTCTAAAGAATATTGTATATAAAGAGAGTAGTGTCTAAAAAATATTATATATTTAGCCCTCTAAACTGAGAGAAACTTTAAGACATAATAATATTCATCATTTTTATGAGCAGAAAACTTTTCCTATAAAAAAGCTGATAAAAAGCCGATGAAAATGACACTCAAATCTTCATTCATGGGACCTATCACTACTCAATGGCAAATGACACAAGTATTTGGAAGAGAATAAAGACATCTTCTGTAGTGATGAATAAAAAAAGTAGTTTAACTAATGAAGTGAGGGCTTCCGTCAAATTTGTACTATGATTTTCACACAGACAATAATATTTACACTAATAAATTATTCACCATATCTGCTCTAGGAACAATACCCCTACCGTTATGAAGAGCAACAGTGACCCCTACTGCTCAAATAAGGTAGCTCTGGTGTCAGCCAGAACCCGGATTCTTAACCTGTTCTGGATTCCAGATTCTTTTATGAATCCAAAGAAACCTGTAGATCTTTTCAACAGAAAAAAAATATGGTTTTTATATAAGTAAATATAGGTGATTTATGGATCCCTGAGCTAAATAGGGTCACTGAGTTCTATCTACCTATCTAAACTTTCAAGTGGGTAATATAGTTCAGTAGATTCAAAAGAGCTCTTTAAAAGGAGCATAATCGAGTGCAATTTACCTCAATTATTACAATGTTTTTATGAGTTTGGGCTTATAAAGTTTTTTCAGGATTAACTAACAAGTTATAGACCCAACTAGATAGTTACTTTATTGCCTTAGATATATTAGAATCTTGCTTACATTTCTATAATTTTATTGCTATTTAAAATCATGTTCTTTTGTATAATTATTACTATCTATTGATAAGTTATAATATGATTCAGTTTCCCAAGTATATAGTTTATAATTATGGCATTTCCTTGCAAGGCCTATCATCAGTGGCCACTGACATAGAAAATCAGTTCTTAAGCCAAACTCACTCTCAAATTGACAGATGACTATATTTTCAAATAGAAACATGATCTTAAAGTTTTTATTGAATTAAAAAGTAATAAATCTCTAAATAATATCAATTCATGTTGCTACATTTTTGATAAAATTTTTCCCCCTCTCGAAGTATATGCAGTATGCTCTGGAGACAAGACCAGTTGAATTGATTATGGTTAAGGAACAAGCAGAGCCAATTAAATGTTTGTCTATTCAAGTTTGCAAATGTCTAACACTATCCTTTTTTTTTTTAATGGTAGCTTTTCTTTAATGCTTTTTGGGAGGAAGACTGGCCCTGAGCTAACACCTGTTGCCAATCTTCCTCTTTTTTTTTTTTCCTCCCCAAAGCCCCAGTACATAGTTGTAAATCCTAGCTGTAAGTCCTTCTAGTTCTTCTATGTGGGACTCCTGCCACAGCATGGCTCGATGAGCACTGTGTAGGTCCACACCTGGGATCCGAACTGGGAACTCCAGGCCGCCAAAGTGAAGCATGAGAACTTAACCACTCGGCCCTGGGGCCAGCTTCCAATTTTTCTTTTTTTTGCTTTGTTTTGATTTTTTGCGAGGAAGAATAGCTATGAACTAACATCCATTGCCAATCCTCCTTTTTTTTTTTTGCTTGAGGCAGATTAGGCCTGAGCTTACAACTGTGCCAATCTTCCTCTGCCTTGTAGGTGGGACACCTCCAGAGCATGGTAGATGAGTGCAGTAGGTCAGCACCTGGGCTCCCAAGCTGTGCACCCCAAGCTGCTGAAGCAGAGCAGGTGGAACTTGAACCACTTGGCCACAGGGTCGGTCCCCAGTTTTTCTTTTTACATAGAAAAATAATTGGGCAGGATTGACTGCAAACTGCAGATTTTACCTGTGTAGAACACAAAACAAAATACCAATACTTTGGCACCGGGATGTGTTTAAATAAAAATGGCTCCAGGGGTGTCTTTCTTACACCTGCTTTGAAAAGCTATACCCTGGTATTATTGAAGCCACATTAACCAGCAGACAACTAGGAAATGGACAAGGGTTATGTGATTTTGAGAGATTAAAAAAAAAAACCTATTTATTAGCAGAAAATAAATTTGGGGTTTTGTCATATGCTGTTAATCTTTTGCAGGGGCCAGCCCTGGCTGAGTGGTTAAGTTCACGTGCTCTGCTTCTGCAGTCCAGGATCTCACCAGTTCCAATCCTGGATGCAGACATGGCACTGCTCATCAAGCCATGCTGAGGCGGGATCCCACATGCCACAACTAGAAGGACCCACAACTAAAAATACACAACTACGTACCTGGGGGCTTTGGGGAGAAAAAGGAAAAAAAAAACTCTTAAAAAAAAAATCTTTTGCAAAAGTTCTCAAATTGAAACAACCATTCCGCAATACTCACTGAAGAAGTGTTTAGTGAACAGTATAAGTGTAAGAGGCATCGTTTTTAGGCGCCTGGCTCCAAAGCGTCTAAATACTTCCCGCCAAGTTTAGCCAAGTAGTGGAATCAGGCGACATAAACCCGGAGGGGACCCCCAAAGAGGGCAAGGCGGCGGGAAAGCCTTAGAGCTGCCGAGGTTCACTCTCTCCAGACCCTCCCTGGAACTGATGGTTTAGGTTCTCTGAAGAAAACGCATTAATCTTCTGGGGAATACAGCGCAACCACAGCCCTAAACCGAAACTTTAAGGCTGAGAACAACGCGACGTTACTTCAAAAACTCTTCAAAGAGGTGAGCGAAATCCTGCACGCATACATTACAGCAGCCTCCGCGTCTCAGTCCCGAGACTCCGCCCCAGAGGCGGTCCCCAGGAGAAAGGCCCGCCTCTCGACCCCAGAAGGCCTGCGGGTGACCAGCGCGCCTGCGCGAAGTTGCGTCACATCCGGCGCCAGAGCGCCCGATTCCGGAAGGGGCTGCCCAGTGGTGGCGGCGGTTTCACGCTTGGGGGATAGTGTTTCTTTTCTGCGGGAGTGGCGAGATACCCGGCAGCATCATGGTCGAGGTAGAGTGACGCTTGGGTGCTCAGGAGTCGTTTGCTTCCCGACTGGTTTACTTTGGCGGCGGGCTTGGTGGGTCGAGGGTGTCGGGAGTCTGGGGAGAGTGGAGGCTGTGAGGGGAGCCTGTTGGGCCGAGGCCGGGGAGTCTTTTAAGGTTTTCAGGAAGGGAGAGAGGCTAGAGGAGAGCTCGAGTGGAGGTTCCGTCCGTGCGGGAAGCCTGAGATAATTTCTCCCGTCCTTAGTTGATCCTTGAGCACTTGAGCTGGGCACTGTCCTCGGAGGCGGGACTTATGTTGATATTCCACCACTGGCACTCGCCCCCTGCGGGGTACATTCAGTGGTTCTATGACCTAGAAGACTGGCCATCTTCTCTGCTGTTCACGTTATCTCTTAGTTCAGCCCTTCCCCCAGGAAAGTCTGCCAGTCTTAAATTTTTGCATGTTTCTCTGGCTTGAACAGCCATTCTCTTAGCAAACCTTGTTTGTCTTATCTCAGAAATATTTCTTGACTCTGGTCCATACCCACTGCCATCAGCTTAATTCAGACCAGCATCATCTTTCGCCTGGACTGGTGCATTAGCTCCCAGCTGGTCTCTCTGCTTCCATTTTGTTACCCCCGCACCCCGGTAAATTAATCTGTTTATAATGTAAGCTGATCATGCTTTTCTTGCTTCAAACTCTTTACTGGCCCTATGGTACTAGAGCAAAAATACAGACTGTTGCAGTGGTCTAAAAGAACTTACCTGATCTGGATCTTGGCTACTCTTACAACCTCATCTTGCATCACAACCCACCCTCTCAATGAACATACACAGCTGCACGTCTCCTGGCCTTGTTTCATTTACTGAACACCTTTGTACATGGCGTTTTCTTTCTGCCTGGATTGTTCTTACTTCTATTCTGCACAAGGCCAACATCCTCTCTGCTTAAATAACAGTTCAGAGAGATCTTTAGTAACTATCCTAAGTTCTTCTTCAATTCTCTGTCTCAGCCCCTTGCTTGTTTTCTTTATAGCACTTATCAAAATGTGGAGTTATTTTGCTTATTTTTATTTGTGTTTCCTCTTGAGCACAGAAACAATGACTGCCTTTTCATCATTCTCTTGTTAGCTTCTAGCACAGTACCTGCCAGACATTTGGTAGGTGCTCAGTAAATATTTATTGAATAAATGGATCTCAGGCATCACTCAGGTGGTATACGTGGGGCTCTGGCCAAAGAGGAGCCTCCTCCTCTTCCCTGAACTTGCCTCCTGTAGGTTGCTACACATAGCTGTGGTGAGCAGTGCAAAGCTTTTTACATATTTAAACAGGTAAAGCATGTAACTAACTTGACTTTGATTTAGGTTATGATATATGTAATTTGTAGCTAGATATGTGATTACACTCTTTCTTTCTAGGAGGTACAGAAACATTCTGTGCACACACTTGTATTCAGGTCACTGAAGAGAACCCATGACATGTTTGTAGCTGATAATGGAAAACCTGTGCCTTTGGATGAAGAGAGGTAGGTATAGTTCCTTTTCAATGGCTAGAATATTTAAACTTCTAATACTGGGGGAAGAGAGCAGGGCAAGGGGGACCTTTAAAGATTAGTGAGTAATACTGACAATAGGATATTTATTCAACGTGAGTGGTGTTTGGGCATAATTTAAGCTGATTTAACTTTTTTTGGCCTTTTACAGTAAAACTCCCATTAATTAATTGCATTTTACAAATACCCAGTAATTAGGAGAGTCCCTTTTAGGTGTTATATTTTATAATCAATCACTTTGTATGTGCTTTCAGCTTCCCGCTGCTCTCAGAGCCTTGCTGAGCTGAAATTGTACCTGGCCAGTACCTCTACTCCCATCTTTTCTCGTTAGTATGATGAAGATTTTTGAGTGGTGGCATATTTTTGGTTCTACATCTCCAGCTCCAGTCTGGGATTGCATTATGTGCAGTGTTCCTTCTTTGTCCTTTACCTTCTTTTAAAATCAACTTAATTCCTCAAACAAGCATTTATATTTAATTTATAAAGTAGACTATTCTTAGAAGTAGTGTAATAAGTGCATTTCTTTTTAAAATATTGAACTAATTAAGTACTTTGATTAGTTCTGACTAACCTTTTTAGATACATATCCAGTAAAGGTTACTGTAGAGCTTTTACTATATTTAGACATTTGAAGGAAAGTTTATTGACTTTGAGATTTTTTTTAAGGGTATTTTAGTTTCTGTGTATTTTTAAGTCAGTTAGACCCTTGATTCTCATCATGAAAAGTTTTATATTTATTGGTTAACAAACTGAAATATTACTTAGACTTAATGTATGCTATGTGGTAGATTGTGAACAAAAGTGTGGAAATGCACTTGGAAATTTTGAGCTTTTTAAAATACTCTCTAACTTTAAAATCTTAATAGAAACTTTTTCTACATGATTAGGTGAACTTAAACTGTTTAAGTACTTGTTTCCTGGCTATCTGTGAGTATATTTACTTTGGTGAATATGTTTAAAGTACTCAAAGATACATTCTTAATGTTTATAATTTTTAAATAGTCACAAACGAAAAATGGCAATCAAGCTGCGTAATGAATATGGTCCTGTGTTGCATATGCCTTCCTCAAAAGAAAATTTTAAAGAGAAGGGCCCTCAGAATGCATCGGATTCATATGGTCATAAACAATATCCTGCCAATCAAGGTGAGTATGGCATTGTCAGAAGTGTCAGGACTTATATGTGAATTTTAAAAACAGAAATATGAAATTTCTTATTAATGCCCCTCCTAGAAGGACTAATTAGACCCATACTCTGTTTAATAGCTATACCAGTAGCATAATGGAAGTCTGGGTTTCCTTATTGAAGTAGTGAGTGAGATTATTGGTTGGTGGATTTTTTCTTATAGGAGATAAAATAGTGGTAGTATAATGATGGTAGAATTTCTTAGGATATGGAGAAGGTCACAGTGGAGACTAAAGGAAAAATTCCTAACCTATGGGTAGAACATCTATCTATTTTGGCTAAAATTCAGAAAGATGATGATAAATTGTAGTGAATAAAGATAATCCAAGATTCCACAGGGAAACCATTTGCTTGGAAGAAAAACCAGCGTGGATTGTTACTCAATAGGATGACCTCTCTGTACACCATTGCTATGTAGCAAATGTACAAGCTTTCTTGACATCATATCAGCAAATGGTCAAGGAGATAGCTGTGTACATGATTTTCAGAAGTCAAAACAAAAATGATCAACTTACCTTATTTCCAAGGTTTGGGTTTAGTTGGGAACTTTAAGAAGTCCAATTGTTAGATTTAATATTATTTAATTCATTAAAAGAGATGATGCTTGTATGTAAAATAAATTTGCCATTGATGAATTTTTTCTCTCTTTTGTTTTTATTTTAGGACAAGAAGTTGAATATTTGGTGACAGGTACACATCCGTATCCACCAGGACCTGGTAAGTGAGCTGTTGCATATTGAAAATGTCTTATTGTCACATATATTTCCATGAATGAACCAATAATATGATTCCCATTGCCTATAAAATATAAGGTAAGCTCAGCTTTTTAGATAAGGCATAGCTTTTTAGATAGTACTAATCAATATCACATGCGTTCATTCAGCAAACATTCTTAAGCACCTATATTTTTTTCTGGTGCTGTGCTAGGAATTCCAAGACAAGAAGACTGCTCCAGGCAAAGACCAAGTTTATTATTTGGAGGTTTAGAGAGACATGTAAACATCACTAAGCTTATAAAAATGATGTGTTAGTGTAGAAGCAGGTATGATGAAAAAGTTTCCAGGATGTGTATGTTTGTAGAGAAATTGGCACACAAATAGAATGACCAGTATAAAGGGTGGAGGACAGGAAGCTTAGTATATCTAAGTTCTAGTGATTATCAGGACAAGATTCACCATAGTGAACGTACAGGTGAATCAGTGCTTCTTGTAGTAATTTGCGTTTACTCTTAGAAACGTTCTATTACTATTTTGGGAACTACTTAATTTTTAGATCTGAAGGTAATATCCCAAGATAATAGAAATTTAACTTTGCTCTGTTGGGCTTTGTTGATACTAAGCCACTTGTGATTAAATCAATTTTAAGTTATGTATTGTTAAGCAATATTTATTGTAAAAAAAGATAGTAACAAAAGACATGCAAAACATAATCAAAATTTTTGTAATATCACCACCTGGAGATAATCACCATTACCTTTTTGGTATGTTTTCCTTCAGCATTTTATTTTGAAGGTGTGTAAATGTTAATAAAGATAGCTACTAAAAGGAATTGATAATTTTTTTCATTTTAACAGGAGTTGCTTTGACAGCAGATACTAAGATCCAAAGAATGCCAAGTGAGTCAGCTGCACAGTCCTTAGCTGTGGCGTTACCACCTTCTCAGGCCAGGTATGAAATACAGGCCTTCTCATTACAAATTTGAAAACATAGTTCGCTGTTCACATTTTTTCTCATTTTTCAATTTGTTTATATTTATGTATTACATGACATTTTCATTTATCATTGCTTATAGAAATTTAAAATGTAAAGAGTTGGTTCTGCAGAACGCATGACAAGGGGCATTAATTACTTAGAATGTGATTTTTTTTTTGCCTCAGAGTTGATGCAAATCGTAGTGCACCTGCTGGAGGTGAATTCCGACATTCTGGGGCTTCCGAGCGTTCACAGCCTGCAGGGATGACTTCGGTGAGTTTCTCTGTGTCACATTACACTGCACCATTCTAACTTCTGGAACTCATTGCCTTATTTTCCTTTATCCTGAGTCTTACCTTAAATATTAAATAAGTAAGCTTTCTTTTGGAATTGTTACAGTAAAAAGCAACCTGAGCTAAGCATTAGTATCACATAGCCCTAAAATTTAAGTTGCAAGTGTCTTGACATATTTTTTAGAATTTAAAATTCTAATATACTGCATGTACTGGCGCATTGTACATAATATTTAATATATTTGATGAAGATAATATGCTGCTTTTTATTATCCTATTAAAAACACAAGGAATATTATTCTGAAATTTGTATTAATATATGTTAGCTATGAAAGTCTTTTTGTAATTAAACTTTAAGTTGGTTTATACAGTTAGAGTTGAGTGCTATTAGTATTGTAATATTCACGGGCTGTATAACTAGTGTCATGTGAATGAGAATTTAGAAGTATGTAAGTTTATCTGTAAGTAAATGGCAGCTACTGTTATTATTGGTCAAAGTAATTGTAGAAAAAATAACTGAAAATATGCAGTTCGTTTTATTATGCTGTCACTTGAAATAAGTGCAGGCTTTACTTCCTCAGTTTATTCTGCAGTTGATTTGGCTTTATGAAGTGAACGAGTCTGTTGTCCTCCCACCACATTTCTTCTTTAGCCTCCATTCACAGGTCTCTCTGCCCAGGCTTTCTGCCTCCTTAGGAGGATGTAATATAAGCTGCTTAAGGGCAGGAATTTTTTGGGTTTACGTATTTTTTGGATGGGTGGGTGGAGGCTAAGGGTAGATGGTATATCAGCTAGTATACCTTTTAAAGTAGTACCGAAATACTTTTTGGAAGATAAATAGAAGGAACTACCAGTCTCTCCTTTACAAAAGTAAGTCAATAATGTTAAAATGTAACAATGAAAGGCAATGGCAGCAGTCTATTTATAGTCACTTAAATAATAGTAGGAGCTTACCTACAGCATTTACTACTCTATTAATCTTCATAATAACTGTGTGAGGTAGGCGCTGTTGTTTCCATTTTACAAATAAGGCACAGAAGTTGCATAGTTTTTACCCAAGGTCAGTCAGCTAGTAATTGGCAGAGCTGGGTTTTGAACCCATGCACAGTGGTATGTCCTCTTAACTCTAATGTTCTGCCTTTCTTGAGATTTTTTAATTGCTTTTTAAAATTAGAATTAACATACAGAAAAAATATAGTTCTGATTAGAAATGTTAGACTCATTTTCTAGTTATACAAACATTTTTAGCTGTCCTTTCCTCTTCATTTAAGGAAAAAAGCTTTCATAAACCCCCTCCTTGAATTTCTGTTTTTGAATTGGTAACATGAAACCTTAGGAAAGATATCTTTAATAATAATGTGATCTGTTCCATTTCCAGGTGGTTATGGAGGGTGGTAATGCCAAGAACTCTGCACTGATGGCTAAAAAAGCCCCGACAATGCCGAAACCTCAGTGGCACCCACCGTGGAAGCTCTACAGGGTGAGTGAATCTGTATGTCATTCCATTGTGTGAAACGTAATCACTGCTTTCCAGTTGAGCAGAGCTGAGGAGTAGAATCAGGAGGAAGAGGAGTGAATATGAGAACTGGTAAAGTGATCTGGGGAGGCATGTGAAAGGAGCTTAGGCACTGTCTTAAAGGATACCTTGGGAAGGAGACTTTTTTCAGTAAAAGCTATACTTGTATTTTGCATAAAATACAGTATAAAATACGCACAGAAGGCTACTAAATGTGGAGAGCAGATAAAATAAATTTAGGAAAGTGTTGAGGTATTTATTCTGAAGGCCAGAGGAAAAACAATGTATAAGGACATTTCTTTGGCTCTACTGATTATCTTTTAAATTACACTAAGTTAAAATGATTCAAAATGTACCAGATCTAAAATAAAATGTATATAGTAGGAAAAGTACAGGTACACGTGGTTTAATATATATATTAAATTTTACCTTTCAAATTATCGTATAGTAAAATAGACTTTCTATTGGTGTACAGAGCTGAGAAACTTTAACAGATATATGGATTTGGGTAACCACTACCACAATTAGGATATAGAAGTTCGTTCCATCAGCTTAGAAAACACCCCTGCACTGTTCTTTTATGGTCACATCTTTTCTCACCCCTGGCAAACATTCATTGGTTTTCCATCACCATAGTTGTGTCTTTTCAACTGTGTCACGTAAATGGAATCATACAGTATGTATGTTTTGACACTGACTTCCTTCACTGAGCTTAATGCCTCTGAGAGTCATCTGCGTTGTTGCATGCATAATGCCTTCCTTTTTATTGCTGAGTGGTATTCCACCGTATTGATATACTACAGTTTGTGTATCCATTCACTGATTGAAGATCATTCAATACTTATTCTAAAAATCGAATTGTCAGATAATCTTACAAACTTATCACTTGACGATGTAGGGAGGGGCAATTCAAACTTGGATTGAATAAACTTTAACTTATGTGTAATGAGTTGAAATTGCATAGACTTTAACTTACATATAATGAGTCTGCCCGTTCTACCTTTTTTTTTTATACAGGTCATCAGTGGACATCTTGGCTGGGTTCGATGTATTGCTGTGGAACCTGGAAATCAGTGGTTTGTTACGGGATCTGCTGACAGAACTATAAAGGTAACAAGGAAGAAAGAAAAATTAAACGTGGCTGTGCTTACCATGTAAATTTAATCTGTTTTAAGTTATTTCCTCTGGTGGGAATTGCTCTTGGAGTTTCTCTGACTTTTTTTAGATCTGAATATGGAGTAAAATTTATTGTTTATATCAGTTAAAAGTTCCAAATAAATAACTACTTGAACAGTGAAATTTAAACAACAGTTTTTTCTAAACAGTACATGCGAACTACCTACCACTAATTTCTTGATATTTAAGTGTTTTTTCCCCTCTGGTTACAGAATTAAAGCATGCACATCTATAAACATGTGGAAAATAGAAGTGTCAAAGAACATTGACCCATACATAATCCTACCGCTGTCAGATACCTGAATGCATTTCTCTTTAGTATTTACTTCTGTGCATATGAATCACTGCATTTCTTCTGAGCGCTTTTCCTGTGTGCACAAATCTTGCTTGATATGTAATCCTGTACCGTGCTTTTTTTTTGACTTAACGTTGTATCAAAGGCATATTCCTGTGGGAAATTGAACACCTTTTTAAATGGTTCCGTAATATTATATCATTTAGGTATTCTATAATCTGTTTTCTATTGTTGGACGTTAAAGTTTTAGTTCCCTGATTTTCACTATCACAAGTGATGCCATAATTAATCTTTGTACCTAAAACTTTTTCTGTATTTGAAATTATTTTGTTGTGGTAGATTCCCAGAAATGGAATCAATGGGTCAAATGTTTTTGAAGTTGACACCCAAAGTACAAATTATTTTCAAATATGGGGGAATTCATACTTGCAGTGTGTGAGAGGATCCATTTTAGCATATTGATTGTGTGTCTTTAAAAATATCTACTAATGTGATAAGCAGAAATGGGTATCTAATCTTTTAAAAACTGTATATACAAAATGTCCTGTGAGATTGAGCTTTTTGATCTCTTATAAAGCTGCTTTTAGGATTTTTTAAAATTTTTTATTGATGCATAATTGATATACAACGTTATATTAGTTTCAGGAGTACAAGATAATTATTTGGTATTTGTATATATTGCAAATGATCACCGCAAGTCTAGTTACCATACATAGTTACAGAATTTTTTTTGTTGTGATGCTAACTTTTAAGATCTAACTCTCAGCAGCTTTCAGATATGCAGTACAGTATTATTAATCATAGTTGCTATGCGGTGCATTACATCCCCCTGTGTCTTTTGACCCCCTTCACCCATCTCCCACCCCCTGCCTCTGGTAACCACCAATCTATTCTCTGTATCTATGAGCTTAGTTTTTGTTTTTTTTTTTTTAAGATTCCGCATATAAGTGAGATCATACAGTTTTTGTCTTTCTCTGTCTTATTTCACTTAGCATAATGCTCTCAAGGTCCATCCATGTTGTCTCAAATGGCAAGATTTCATTCTTTCTTATGGCTGAATAGTATTCCATTGTATATTTACAGCACATTTTCTTTATCTCTTTATCCATTGATGGACACTTAGGTTGAAGCATAGGTTTTTTTTTTTCAAGTTATTGCTATCCTTGACTAATTTAATATGTGGTATTCATACTTTTGTTATCAGTGATATCTTTTATATATTAGGAATATTAACCTTTTGTCATCTATTACAAATACTTTCCCAGTTTGAGCTTACCTTTCAGTTCTATTTTTTCCCTGCTTTCATTTTTGGTGGGGGTGTTGTTTTGCAAATTTTTAAATTTCTATATGTTTATATCTTTCACTTTTTGAAGACTTAACTTTAATATCAAGATTCTAGAAATTTGCTTTGAAACAATCAAGAAAAATTATTCTTTGATTGCAGATTTGGGACTTGGCTAGTGGCAAGTTAAAGCTGTCGTTAACTGGGCACATCAGTACAGTGCGTGGTGTGATAGTGAGCACGAGGAGCCCCTACCTGTTCTCCTGTGGAGAAGACAAACAAGTCAAATGCTGGGATCTTGAATATAACAAAGTAAGTTTGGAGTTAAGGATTTAAAACATCATAAGCCACTGTTTTTCTTTCTAGTAGAGAAATTGTATCGTTCCTGCTTTATTTTTAGGTTATAAGGCACTATCATGGACATCTAAGTGCAGTGTATGGTTTGGATTTGCACCCGACAATCGATGTGCTGGTCACCTGTAGTCGAGATTCAACTGCACGGGTAAGTGGAATAGAGCTTTGTGTTCATCTGTAAATATGTTGCATCTTACAGTATGCGTATTTGGTATTGCAGTCGAGTATTGTTTGACAGGGAATTAAAGTTAGTTGCCTTGACCCACCAATAACCTTGTCCCTCAGTTTCTTGACTTGTGTGTTTTCCACCTTCATCTTCAGTTCTATGCCCTCACCGTGTTTGTTATTGGGTTATTATTAGGAGTGCCCTGCCCCTGAAATGTGACATTCTCACATTGCATTCTGTCACCACAACTATTGTCCATTAGCTCTTTCATTAAATAGTCCCGTTATACTCATTCTTAGACTTTCAGTCCCCTCATCTCTTAGCTTTTTTCCCCATCAGCTGCCTCCCATCTACATTCCCTGCCAGCTTACAGATCATTATCTTTCATTTAAGCACTTTCTTCTTTATACTCAGGCACAATCATCTAGTAAATTCCCAGCCTTCAGTTGATCCAGTTACCTGCCTGAGATATGAACACTTGTTCTCTTTGCCAGTATGTCTATTGTGTTTTTATAGATTTGGGATGTGAGAACTAAAGCCAGTGTACACACATTATCTGGACATACAAATGCAGTTGCGACAGTGAGGTGTCAAGCTGCAGAACCGCAGATTATTACTGGTACGTGTGTTCGTGTCAGAATGTGTTATGATTACACATGTACTTTTCATATTCACTGTGACTCTTGCTTTGTCAGTTCCTGTGTACAGTGTTTCTTTGTGCATTTAAAATCTAACAATTCATTTGATTGTTTTTATCTCATACTTTTTACGTGTCATAGAATGTCGTATACAGAATCATGTAATGTCTGATTAGAAGATGATGCTGTTAGATACAGTTAAGCATTGTTTCATAGTATCAAAATTACTGGTGTAGGAAACTGAAGTTAGAAGACAAAACACTGTGAGACTAATAACCTTAAAGCTGGTTTAAGTCTTGTCTTGCTTAAAATAAGGTTCATAACAATGGATCTTCAAGACTAGAAAATAATTCCTTTACTTGATGTATTTTATTAACTAAAAAATCATTAGTTTTTTCTTTCTCCTCCACTAACGGATAACGTCATGTATTTGTTTTATGTTTTACTCAACATTTGTTCTAGCTGTTCAGTTGAGAAGGCGTTGTGTTTATTACCTTTTTTTTAAGAATTAAATTTAAATAAAATTTTTGAAGCAATTAGCCAAGAGTGATATGACTTTTATTTAGTTTATATGTGTCTATGGAAGAAGGCTTCATGTTTTATTTAACTTTCACATTCTTTTTCCTGATCTTTGTTTTGGGGATGTGTATGTATTTTCATTACAGGAAGCCATGACACTACAATACGATTATGGGATTTGGTGGCTGGAAAAACAAGAGTCACATTAACAAATCACAAAAAATCAGTCAGGGCTGTTGTTTTACATCCAAGACAGTAAGTGTATTTTCTTAATTAGCTTCTTTCTTCAAGTCTTAGTATAGTACAGAAATACCAGCATTGGTTCTACTTTGGTAGTCAATTAGCCACTGTCATTTCCAGACCTGTGCCACTTAATGAATGTGTGTTTCTGTTATTTTCCCTATGTAGTATTTTTCTTCATGCCTTATGTAAGATGAGGAACTTTTTATACAGGGTGAAAAATGATAATGTCAAATGAGACAGTATGAATAAATCATGGTTGAAAGATGCACGTCAAAATAAAAGCTAGTAGTAGCTAGATTTAATGTTTTGGACATACATCTTATTGTACACTGATAGAATAGTTTAATTCTTAAGAAGTTAATATACATAGGGGAAAAAAGTAGAAACCATGAACATTATAGTTAGGATATTCAAAGAGATGGAGCAAAGTATCCCAACCTATTGTTTGTTATATCATGTCACCCTGACGCTTTTCTGATCACATTCATTTCTTTTCTGTTTTCCCTCACCCATTACCCTTATTCCCTTTCTCCTTCTTCCTCTTTCCCTGTCTCCCTCACTCCCCTTCTCTCTCTCTCTCTCCTTCTTGCCCTCTATTTCTGTCCTTCTCTCCCTTTCTTCCTGTTTTCCTCTCTCTCTCCCTCTCTCACTCTCCTTCTCTCCAGGATAGGTACAGAACCCCTTGCCCTGTTTGTGAATTTAGGACTTTGCCCATTTATTGGTCTAGCTCAGTGTAGAGCATTGGGAAATGAGGGGACAATAAAACATTAATCTAGGACTTAAAATACGTTTAAAATTGAAAATCTTAAGTAACTTGAAACAGATGTCTCAATATTTTTACCTCTTGGTATGACAGTATTTTACTAAAACTACGCAGATCAGTGAGTATACATGCAAAATGCAACCGTAATAAGCTTTTTTAAATCCACCATTTTATTTAAGTTGGTTTACTTTGTTGTTAATTCTTTTTAATCTTATTTCAGTTACACATTTGCATCTGGTTCTCCAGATAACATAAAACAGTGGAAATTCCCTGATGGAAGTTTCATTCAAAATCTTTCTGGTCATAATGCTATTATTAACACATTGACAGTAAATTCTGATGGAGTGCTTGTATCTGGAGGTAAAATAAGACTTTTATGATAAATATGTTTTAGTCAGTCATTTTTTTTTTAGTGAATGAGTAAACATTTGTGAAGTTTCTAAGCCATCACACCTAAGTATTATAGCAGAACTTTGCCTGATGATGTGTATTTGAATGTTCATGTATATTCATAATACATGTAGCATATTTCATATTTTAGCCTTCTTTGAGTTCACACATGATAAATCTAAGTTAGAGATTTGTGCTGGGAATTGCCTAGAGTTTGGTTGTCTATTCTGGAATTGGATGTCATTTTGTGCTGCTTTTTGTGATCTATAGTAAATTCTGAATTAAGCACAAATGAAGTGGACAAACCAACATTAAGAGAAGTTTGAGTGCCTATGTCATATACATCTTTATAACTTGCAGTTATTACCATGATGCTTGGCTAATGGTCGGTACTTAATGTTTGTCAAGCTGAATTGTTGAAGAGATACCAAGTTTAACTACATCTTTCCCTTTAAGCTGACAATGGCACTATGCATCTTTGGGACTGGAGAACTGGCTACAATTTCCAGAGAGTTCATGCAGCTGTGCAGCCTGGGTCTTTGGACAGTGAATCAGGAATATTTGCTTGTGCTTTTGACCAGTCTGAAAGTCGGTTACTAACAGCTGAAGCTGATAAAACCATTAAAGTATACAGAGAGGATGATACAGCGGTAAGTTCTCTATTTCACAGACATTTTAAAGTAAAATAAATCAGCCATACCAAGTTTTCAAGTGTTTTCTCATGTTAAAGTTACTGAAGTTATCAGAAGGGAAAATAATCTTTATGGTATTAAAGTGTTTGTCATGTTGAATAGTGTCTGCTAGTAGATTTCTGTAATGGTTTCGTTGATGCCAGCAAGTCCATAGATTGTTCTAATTTTATCCCAACTTTCTTTATTATAGTTAATTGGGAAAATCTTGCATTAAGAATAACAGCAAATAAATAGATTGCTATGCAAATTAATTCTAGAATCATAAGCTTTGGTGTTACTAGAATATGTAAATAGCAATTTTATTTGAGATGAAAAACGATAAACTGAATTTGTAGTGGACCCATTCTTCCTTTATTAGATTCAGATAATGCCAAAAGTTTGTCTGCTGTTGCTAAAATTGTTAACTGCTAAATGTATAATGCCAAGTAATATAATTTAGAACAGATGCCTTATTTTTGTTAGAATGGAACTTATTAAATATGAAGCAAACTAATAATACTTTGTTTTAATTACTTTTTTATTTTTAGACTGAAGAAACTCATCCAGTCAGCTGGAAGCCAGAAATTATCAAGAGAAAGAGATTTTAATGTGGCATTGTCTTCATGGTGGTTCCTTTTTTTTTTTTTCCTTAGCTTGGCGTTGATGAGGATATCCAGTCATTTTGTGCTCTGGCTAGGAATATAAAGCAGAAACTCACGTGCTTGAATCATTGCTGCTTCATATTTTACAATAAACTGCCCCTGCCCGTGTTTTTATTTCTAAAATAAACAATTTGAGATCTTAGGAAGTAAGATGCAGTTATCAAGCATATGGAGATTTGTTGAACATAACTCTTCTAAAGATAGAATATTTTGTCAGTTTTATTAAAAGACACATTTTTTTTTTTAACTTACCAAACTGCTTACCATAATAGGACATGTTTTGAGAGGAACAGTGTTTTTTTTTTTTTATTCCTTTAAAAACTAGTGTCTGTGACTGATAATTTTGGATTAAAGGATTTGAAGTCTTAATTTAACTTAATGTATGTTTATTCCACGGTTTTTGAGTGCATCTTCTGCAAAGTTCTGCACTAGATACTGTTCAAGAAATAGACAAATAAGATGTGTCTGTCCTTCAAGACTTCCACTTTAGTAGCTGGTAATAGAAATGCTGTAATCGAGGTGCAAGCAAAAAGTTGGTGTAGCACAGAGGAAGAGACCATTGATTTTCCCGGAGAGGACTGTGGAAGACTTCATAGCGTAAGTGGTGGTGTTTGGGCTGAGCCTTGAGAGGGTAGAGACCAAAAAGGGTATTGTAAGATGAGGTGTAAAGGGAATGAAGCCAGACATGTGAAAGTGTGTGGTGTGTTCTGGGAGCAGAGAATTGTATGCTGCAGTTGAGTAATGAGGACAGCTGGTTGGTGGTGGGGAAGGCTCATGTTTTGAGTTTGGATTTTATTCCACAAGCAGAGAGTACCAGTATAGGTATCGAAACCTGGAGAAACCAGTGGACGTATTTGAAGCTGTAGCAAGGAAGAGCTGCAATCTTTTGTGAAGGCTTTATAGAAAAGTGTTACTTAAGTGTCTGATACCTGTACCTCTTGGTAAATAGAAGTTTTATAAACCCTACCCTTAGGATCCTGATTCCCCATCAGTCAAGAAGATTTATCAAACTTCACTTTCTATAGTGAGAAAACATAGTTACAAGAACAATCGATTTAATTTTTTTTTCAAATTAAAAAATTGCCCCATAATTTTGAATAAGCATTTCCAAGTTACGCATCTCCACCTTGCATGCTGTAGGTGGGAGTATAACTGTGAGAGCGTTTAGGAGGCCAGGTCTTCAGAGTATATGGAAAATGCTTGGACTCTTCGGCTAACATTTCAGTTTCATTAGAAATGAAACTACCAGGAAACTGCCTAATAAGAAGAATCTGACAAATGTACACACACAAGTTCATTGCACCTTTGTTCTTTAATAATTAAAATTATCCCAGATGTCCTATCAGTGAGGGCCTGGTTTAATAGATTGTGGTACCTTCACACAGTTTATTTCTGTCCATTAAGAGTGAGGAGTGTCTCTGAACTAACAGGATGTCCAAACTTTACTCTTACGTAAAAAAAAAGTGCAAGCACTTTTTATAAAATAACTTGTTAATGCTCTAAAAATAATGGAGAAGTGACACCACATTGTTATCAGTGGCTTTGTGAGGGAGTGGAACTATGGGAGAACTTTTATGATTGGCTTTCTATGTTTCTATAATGTTTTAATTTTCTATAAGCATGTATTTTGTAAACTTAAATAAAAAAGAAACCACTGCTAATACATAGATTCTAATCTACATAGATTCTGATACGACTTCTAACAAGAAAAATCATAGAGGTGAATAGTGTCCCATTCCCAAAGGCCAGGAAGGACTTACAAGTACAAGGAGGTGAGAAAGTTAGCCCCTATTATCCAGCTTGGAAAAGCTTCAACTATAATGGTTATTAGACACAAGTATCAGATTCTGGATAGCATTTAAAAAATCCATTTCCATGCTTCCTGCTGTCCTGTATCATGGTATTCTTGAATCCTCTTCCAGAGAGTTCATATACCATATGCATTCATGAACCCCATGACATTTTAGGCAGTATTGCATGTATGTGCCTGTCCCTTTTTATCTACTTGGCAGAACCCCAACCTGGGTTAAATCCAGATCTCTTCCTCTGCCTGTGCCTTCTGTATGCTCAAGCTGTAAAATGCCAGCAGAGAAGAAGAGTTGTGTGAACTGGACCTATTTTTAAATTTATGGCCACATACCTCACGTGGGCCATCAACAGTGAGCACATACACAATTCCATAGTTAATGCCCTCTGCCTCTTGTTAGAAAGGATGAACTACCCACCTAAGAACAACTGCAAGTATACGATATCGCTGGATCTAATATACCTTTCTAAGTATGCACCCGTTTCTCTATTCCCTTTTATAGCCAGACTCCTAGGAAGAGTTTTCAGAACCTCGTCTCTAATTCCTCACCATTCTCTCAACTGACTCCAATATGAAAATAATGAAAACAAATGTGTTAAACATTGTTCTTAGAAAAAGAACAATAGAAGAAACTTAAAATAGTCTGAAGGAGTTGATAGGAAATAATGAAGTAAAAGAGGAAATGGTAAATAAACCTAAATATTAATTTTTTGGTACGGAAATAAAGTAGGTAACACTAGATAAGCCAATTAAGAAAGAAATAGAAGAATCACAAAATGTCCTAACAAAAATGGTAAAAGGAAGGGGGATGAAGAGAGAATTGTGTCCAGTTCTTTGCCATTATATTTAAAAAGCCAAATGGTTAGTTTTAAAGAAAAATTTTATGACCAATTCCAGAAGATGCAGAAAACTTTAATAAATTAATTACCATAGAAGAAATAGAGCTGCCAAGGAATTGTCCCCTACTACGACCACCCACGTCCATCACTAAGCACAGAGCTTCAGGATGGAATTCTCATTTCAATGCACTTTAAATTTTTCTAGGACATGGATAAAGTCGGAGAGCTTTTGTTTTAAAATGTGAATATAACTAAGACATCCAAATCCAATAACAAAGGAAATTGTGATTTCATCTTTTTTGTGAATATTGATGCAAAAATAATTAGTAAAGGCTAATAAAAGAATCAAGCAGTACATATCTAAGGAGTTTATTCTAAGGGTTATTTAGATGATAAGAAATAGAAAAAATAAGACTTTGACCTAGTAAGATTCTTTTCAGCAATGCAACAGTGGTTTAATGTTAGAAAACATTTTATTGTAAATAATTTAGATAAACAAGATCATCATGCCAACACAGAAAAATCATTTGACAAAGTTCAAGAAAAATACCACATCAGAGTTCTGAGAGAAAGAGTGGGGAGATATATCAATAATTTCTTAAAGAGTAATTACTGGGTAGGAACACTAAATCATTCTTCACGGAGGAACATAGAGGCAGGCACAGGAACAATTAAAATCAGGAATAATAAAAGGATGTCTGCACTCATTTTTTAAAATTCAGCATGGTTCTGGGAATTTGAATTAACAGAATAAGAAAAGAAAAATTCAAATTACAGTGATTTGTAGATAAGGCATATAAAGCAAGCAACAGAAACACTTAAAACTAATGAAAATACCCTCCAAGATGATTCCATACAAGATAAATACAGTACATGAAAATCAATAGTTTTTCTTGATAACAGCAATGAGCTGTTGTCCACTGTCTAAAAGATAACCACTTGGACCCTGTGAACATAAGCCTATAAAAACTTTAAGAGTAGCTTTAACAGGAAATGTGGAAACTCTAAATGAACAAAAACTATAAAACTCACTGAGGGTATTTAAAAGTCTGAATAAATGTAAGGACACACCATGCCCCTGAAAGAAAAGGTGCAAATTTTTATATATGCTGTTTCTGTAAAAGTTAGTATATAAATTTAGTATGATCACAATCAGACTTTGAGTTTTGTTGGAAGAACGTTGCAAATAGAGGATCAAGTTTATGTGGTAAAAGCAAAATGTTTAAGAAATGTTTGAAAGCGTAGGATCATGAAAGGTGGGGTTGTCTGTTGTATCAGGTATTAAAAAGCATATCAGAGTTAATGCAGAAATAAAAAGTCGAAGAGAACAGAATAGCCCAAAAACTTATGTGAAAATTTACAGTTTATAATTCATTCAATAAAAATCAGATTAGTATTATGGTGCATGGATACTGTGGCGCAGGGAAAACTATGCTGGCATTTTTTAAAAAGCCAGTAGATTTGAACAAGCTGCTGTAGAAAAATGGCCAAAATGGCGCACACACAACAAAAAGGTACAGGAACATATTAAATAAATATATAGATTTCTTTAAAGGTGGTTGATTGAGCCTGTACATCTACTTTTGCTTCTTCCCAAAACCTCATTGAAATGACAGTAGAGTTTTTATTTTATCCATAAAACCATAAGGACAGGAATAAGCAAAGAGAAAAAACAGGAACAAAATTTTGGAAACGAAGGCATATGGACAAGTGGTAGCCAACACACTGGAGAAAACTGAATCCTAAGCTGTCAGTGAGGGAAGCCAAAAAGCAACCTAATTTATACAGCAGAATCCTCAGAGACTCAGAAACAGGCAGTATCAAGCTGGAAACTGGAGTAAGGAAACAAAACAAAATGCTGAGACCTTGTAATTAGAGTTGCCAGATAAAATACAGGAAACTCGCTTAAATGTGAATTTCAGATTAGAAAACAACTTTTAGTATAAATATGTTCCAAATATTGAACGGGATATTCCTTTAGTAAAAAATCATTCATTGCTTTTCTTAAATTCAAATTTAATTGGCTGTCCCGTATTTTTACTTGCGAAGTCTGGTATTGACCACATTTATGGACTTGGAATGGACACAGCCCCGGGGAACAACTGTGTAAGAGGGAAGGTGAGAGAGAGGTGTAGAGACAATGAACACTGGCTTCTCCCATCTCCCTGCCTTGTAATTTCCTAATGGTGCGTCCTATTAGCAGAATCTAACTGGAAGCCAATTGGCAAAAAAGCTCAGGAAATAGTTTTTTGACCTTCAGCCACATAGCATTACAGAGTAACTGATAGAAGGATGGGTCTGAGGCTGACTAACAGTAGGTAAATAACCAGCATCTCGTATATGAATGACGTAGAATTTTAGCTTAAGATACTTACAAATAGGAAGATTCATCTTGGTTAGTTTCTTTCTATACAGGTTTTTGTTTGTCTGCATTGGTGCTCAAACATTTTGAGTGCTGCTTTTGGGGTGGACAAAAAATAGCAATGATAACTGGAATGTGAGGTGTCATAAAACAAGTACCACACTAGAGGTCCACTTAGAAATGCCACAGGAGTGCAGGACTGTTCATTCTGACTGGGGGCTCTGAAAGAAGCTCTACAGAATCACTGGCATTTGAATGAGACTTGCGTAATGAAAGAAGAGGAAAGGGACAGGCATTCCCAAATGGACAATGGGATCAAAACCAGAGGTGAGAAAGCGTGGAGTGTGTTCTGAGCATAGGCAAGGTTTGGTGCAGCTGAGTAGAAGAGAAGATGCATGGATGCCGGATGGGGAATGAACCTGGGCATGGGGGAATAGCACCTTTTTGGAGGAGGACCTTGAATATTGAGCTAAAAATGTGGCTTTTAGTCTGCCAAATAATGCATAGGTAATGAGGAATTATTCATGGACCTGGAACCAAGAAAAAACTTAGATGTAGACCAAGTGTATTTGAGGCTAAATTGATGAGATTTCTCAGAACTAAGTGTAGAGCAGTGGGTCTCAACCTTGTAGAATCCATGGTCCCTACTGATAACACAGATACCTCTCACGGGGGATCTTTATGACACCTACTACGAATCATTGCTTGCTTCTGCTTACTTCAGCCAAACCCAATTTTGTCAAACTTTCTAATTTTTTGAAAAAAGTTAATTTTTCTTTCCTAAATACAAAATATAATTCCAAGTGTTTTGTTTGTCAAATTATAGTAATGCAGCAGTCATAAGCTATTGAGGTAAATGTAAATTGCAAGTGTCATTTTGTGAACAAGTTGGCAATGCACATGATATTTCATTGCAATTTGATGTACCTGTTTTTTCTATTTTCATATGTGTATGTATATATGTGTACATATACCTTTAGGCTTTATTGGTACACATATATTTAGGCAGAATGTTATGGACTGAATATGTTTTCCAAATTCATATGCTGAAATCCTAACCTCCAATGTGATGGTGTTAGGAGGTGGATCCTTGGGGAGGTGATTAGGTCATGGGAGTGAAACCCTCATGAAAGGGATTAGTATCCTTATAAAAGAGGCTCCCAGAGAGCTTTCTGGGGAGCACACAAGAAGACAGCCATCGATGAACCAGGAAGGAAGCCCTCCCCCAGACACTGTATCTTGATCTTGGACTTCCTAGCTTCCAGGACTGTGAGAAATAAATGTTTGTTGCTTAAGCCACTCAGTCTATGGTATTTTTGTTGTAGCATCCCAAACTGAGTAAGAAAGGCATGATTTCTATAATTGGCCTCACAGTATACATTCTGAGATTTGTTTTCTTAAGCAGTGTACGTAAAGATCTTCCCCCTAACACGTTTGTGTATTGCTTCATTGTTTTCAATGACATAGTATTCGGTAGTGGGAATGTGCCATTATTAATTTAAATATTCCACTCGAAAAAATATTATTTTTCCGTTTTGAATTTGTTGCTACAAACCATGCTGGAAGTAATACCCTTGATCTTAGTATACATAATGAGTATTTCTAGAAGGTAATAGCAATGCAATTACCAAGTCAACATATATAGATCCTCCCAC